TAACCTTTTAATCCTGTCAAGGCTAATATGTCCAAGATGTAGATACCATTTGTAGGTTTGATCTGTTGGGTCTAATCTCAACCTTTTACTGTCCCTAATTGAATCATCATTCAATTCAGTATCATATATCGTTGGAACAATTGGTTTGACATAGAACAAATTGTTTATTATAACTGTAGAAGTAATCATGAAACCATTCTTAAGAATTTGAATAACATCATTATTGAATCCCAAAGAATATCCTTGCTCAATCAAACGAGCTACAGAAATAAGGTTTTTCCCAAAAACTGGGACATAATAAACATTGCTCAAAACAATAAAACTGTTCTTAAAAACTAATTTAATGTTTCCAACTGATATAGCCAATACTGATGCTCCGTTCCCCCAGCGAAAGTTAAACTCGCCCTTGCTAGGCCTTTTGCTTTCCCTGACCCCCTGCAGAGAATAACAAACATGATTGGTGGCTCCAGAGTCTACAATCCAAGAAAAAGTAGAGTCAGCCACAAAACAAGCTTCGGTCACAAGTAATGTACCTTTAGCTTTAACCTCCTTGAGGTAAGTAGGACAGTTGCGCTTCCAGTGGCCAGCTACTCCGCAATGGTGACATTTGTCATTACTCTTGTCTACCCTTGCAATGTTCTTGCCCTTTCCAGCTTTTCCTTCCGGTTTCTTCTTGTTGCGGTTTTTCTTCAGCTTCTTGGCACCAGAGGTGGAAGGTTTTGCTTCAGCAAGGTGTACCTCTCCATTCCTCTTTTTGCCTTTAAGCAGTAGGGTTTCCGCAGTCTGAAGCTCCTTCATGAGTTCAGGGAGTGAATAGTTTAACTTATTCATTGAGTAGTTGAGCTTGAAGTTGTCGAACATCTCCAGGAGAGTCTCTAGGATCATATCCACCTGAGTCTCCCCATCTATCTCAGCTTCCATGAGCTCCATCTCATTCAGGTGACTAATGATCAGTAGCATATGGTCCCGAACAAGAGTGCCAGATTTCATCCGACAGTTCATGAAGTTACGCACCGCAGCTTGCTTGGCTTGACGGCCCTGGCTGCCAAACATTTTAGCAATGCTGGAGATCATATCTGCAGCCGTCAGCATGTTCCGATGTTGCTGTTGCAACACATTGCTAATTGATGCTAAAATATAGCACCTAGCAATCTCATCGGAACGCATCCAAGAAGTGTATGTGTCTCGCTCCTCTTGAGTAGACTCCTCAGTCAGCTCAAGAGGATAGGGGGTGGTGAGCACATGCTTGTGCTTGTCTAC